ATGTATACTTTATATAGTTTATATAATATATTATACATAGCATACTTAAAATAGAGCGCAATATAAGAATATTGTCAGAATGTTTTTGCAATATAAATATATATACATATTTCTTTTTCTAAATTATTTTAATTATGTAATAATTATCAACATAAAAAACTTAAAAGATTGATATAGTTTCTTTTTCTAGCAAAATTGTTATTCTAAACATTTATCTTTATTTTTTATAACAAATTATAAAGCATTAAGAAGTTTTCATATGTTAAAATATCTAGAAACGACCAGAAAAATGGAAAACTATGGAAGTAGGAGCGATAATAATTAGTCCCACAAGAGAACTGGCTACACAGATTAGTGAAATTTTGGAAAAATTCTTAGAAAGAATTCCATCATTGAAGCAAATATTGTTAGTTGGAGGTGTGACACTTAAGGAAGATGCAGAAAATTTGAAGATGGGAGTGAACATTATCGTTGCCACACCTGGCAGATTACAAGACATTTTATCCAATTATAGTTCCATAAATTTGAGTTTGTGTATAAAATCTTTGGTAATGAAATTACATCTTCTTGTAATAAAATTATTTATACGCAATCAGAATTCTTGGATTATTAATCAAATATATTGTTATTTCTAGGAGTTTCTTATTTTAGATGAAGCAGATAGATTGCTAGACTTAGGATTCTCTGCAACTTTAGACAGCATTTTAAACTATTTGCCACGTCTTAGAAGAACAGGATTATTTTCTGCAACACAGACGAAAGAATTGCAACAATTAATTAGGGCAGGTCTGAGAAATCCAGCATTGATAGTTGTGAAAGAGAAATCTAATGTTTCAACGCCTGTAAATTTGAACAACAGTTACACAATTGTTCAACCTGAACACAAATTATCAGTAATGATAGATTTTATACGTTCAATAGGATTTAAAACAAAATATATGATATTTTTATCTACCTGTGCGTGTGTGGATTACTTCAGTCAGGTTATACAAGTGTAAGGCATATTTTACTTAAATATTAACAAAATATATATTATTTGCTGTTAAATTTCATATAGCGAAAGGAAAAAAAGAAATTGAAACAGGGGCTTTCAACAACTTCCAATAAAAAAAAAAGGAAACATATTAAGGAAGAGGATCTCGAGGAATTGGCAAAAGATATAGCATTAATTAAAAAATTCAAGAAGAAGAAGGTAATATATTAATTCTTTTCTATTTATAAAAATCAATTTTTCTTTCTTCTATGATTTTCGCATGTTTATCATTTTATATATAATGTTTGTATATCTAATTGCAGATCTCGCAAGAAGAGTTTGATGCAGCGTTTGGAATCTAAAAAATGTTAATTATGAATACATAAGATACATGTGCAACATCCGTTCTCAAGTTTTCGCTTTCTTGATATTTTTTCATTGTATATATTTTCTCAAAATATACTACAAGCTAAATTGGTAACGTAAACGTACGTAATATTGTATTTTTTTACGCCTCCTTTCCATCAGATTCCTACAAATATATTTATAGATATATCATATATATATAGAATATATCACATTAAACAATAAAATACTATAAAGTCATGTTTGTTGTTAACAAATATAAATATTTATTTGCAGGAGATATAAGGATTCGTGGAAAAAATTCATGTTCCTGCTTGCGATTGCTATATTGTAAAATTCGCGCAAAACTCTATTTATGCAAACACGCACACAATCAAACACAAGATCCGCTTTTACAAAGCCCGCGGCTACTTATCCATGCCCTACCTTTGCTCCGTCTTTAAAAGCGTTCCCTCTCTATGCGGGTCATTGCTCATTGTGTAGTAGGGCCAGTATAGCGCTGTAGAGGGGAGCGAAATAATCTCTCACACAAGCGCATACACGAATGTATGTGTATGTGTCTTGAAAGTCAGCAAAGAATGGGGCTGCGGCAGCCCGGCTGCCTCGAAAATTCCAAGTATTGGTGCGGTTAGTCACTAAGCCGACTGCTTCTCTCGGATGACTCATATTTGTGTTGTATGTTAAGTGGCTGTACGAGATAAACGAGATAAGCTCGTTTTCGAAATTGACGCATATTAGACACGAATGATCTTTTGAAGTAGAAAGTTTAAGATTTATACTAGAGGATGGAAGAAGAAATGAATCGTCCAAAGTGGTTGTTGGAACTAGAAAATCGTAAACGAAAGGTGCGTCGTAATTTTTTTACAAGATTTTCACTATACAAGTAGGAAAGGAATATTATGTATACAAAATTAAGATTGAAATTTAATTGAACATTATGTTTGTTACTCAGCCGCGTTTAGCACATGAAGCTGGTGCTGGTGCATCATGCATGAATTGTAATTCTGCATGTCCTGGTCTTGATCTGCATTTTTGGCGAAAGATTTGCAAAAATTGCAAATGTGGTCGGGATGATCATGATGTCGATGATGACGAATTTCCACAATTTGATCTGCTGTTTGGACCAAGTGGAAATATATACACATATAATACAAATTTAATTTTTAGGTTTACAAGTAAATAACAAGAAACAAAATGAAGGTGAAACTACATTTGAATGGATACCGCCAGATACAACTGAAGAACTTGCTGTGGATTATATGAAAGCTTTGCCTGTAGAGAAATTACCAATTAAAGGATCTGCTGGTGCTGTTTTGCGGAGGCAATTATTACAGAAACAATTACCTCTTCATGATATTGATCACAAAGTTTGTGATGAACTTAGTGAACAAGAACAGGAACAATTGGAAAAATATTTAGAAAATATAAAAAAGTATGTAGGGCAAGGCAAAGTAATGAAGGTAAGTCATGTCGATATATTATTAACATTATTAATATGAGTTGCGATTTATTATTAAAATAATAAACATATGTTCGTATTTGATTTATTTAAAACAAGTACTCAAAGTATCTATCGTTAGCATATTTTGTTGTGATATATTGCACAAAATTTAGTTTACGCAATGATACTATGCATTGTCTTCTAAAAATTTCAACAATTGTATGATTTTTAGCTTCATTATATTATACAATATATTAATAGATTAATTCTTAGGCGACGCTATCACATCGTTTTGTTCTACATATAAAAAGTACTGTTGCTGATACTTACTGCTCTTAATTTAAAAAATTTAATTATGTTTTGTTAATTTTACATATCATTTAAAGCATAAATAGTTAGAAATATTATGAAAGTATCACTTGTATAGATACTTGAAGTACTTTCTTTTCAGAGCTAAATTATATATAAAAATGTGTAGCACATGAAAAATCTTTTGTAATATTTTATGCATTGTACATAGAACTTTTGTGTATATACTATAATTTCATAAAAGATTTATAAGTAATAATACAAATGATGTCGTTTTCAGATGATAGCTGCCCGCCCGTTCGATCGTTCTCTCATGACTCCTATCAATGCAGCTGATATGCAACATTTCAGTTCGCAGCATAAATCTTATATACCTTCCACTGGTGTTCAATTACGTACACCGAGTAGTTTTACCGTGAAAAACTCATATGCAAAACTTCCATATGAAGTTCAAAATAAGCAGGATGCTATGGCCATAAATGACAATAAGATATCCAATGCAGAAGGATATAACTGTTCACTAACTAATGTAGCTGCCAATAACAACATTGCGAAATCGCAACTAATCGAAGGGAAATTAATTAATGAGCATTCTCAACATGCGAGTGATATTGTATCCATGAACGAAAGAGCAATAGACAGTAAAGTAATCAATTCCTCGATTCCCGCGCATCTTGCCGAGCAAGAAATCGTACTTGCTCGCGAGATGCATACTTCTGGAAATTACATACCTTACAGAGAAAACACATTGAAAGATGCTTTAGAGAGGCATAGGGAAACACTGGATAATATCACGCCGTGCATTGCGCATTTGGAATCTGTTAATAGCGAAGCAGCCTCTATAGCGGAATCCATGTTGGCGGACGCTATTCTTCCACCTAGTGCGATACACGCCAATGATATTATCGGAAGTACACTGGATGAGAAAAGTCTGATGTTTATAAGAGAAAAACTTGTCGATAAGTACAATGCCACGGAGAATTCGGCGATGCACGCTGTTCCTAAATCATCTCGACTGTTAGACACGAGTGATATATTACGTAACGGCGGATCTAGGGAAAATAATAATAATCCCGCGAATATTAATAAAGATGCAGAGAGAACAGCTATTATAACTGCTATGAAAAATCCTGCAGAAACTCTATTGGAAAAGACAGAAGTTAACAACTTTGTAAACACTCCATTAGAAGCAGAGAGGAAGATGTATAAACCTCCATGTCAAGTAATTGAATCGATTGCTTTACCTGTTAAGGCAAATCATAAACCGGCGAAGAATAATTCGTCAGTGATAGAGAAGTCTAAAACTATACAAGAAGGTGCTATGGATCCCTTATTGAATAAATACGTCTCTGTGGATTCTACTCTTCCCATATTAAATTCATCATTGCAAACTGGTTCGCAATGTCCTGTTAATGCCAATCCGTTGCAAACCGAATTGAGTAGCTCGATCTTGCAACCAACCGTCATACATTCCGAACAGTTGCAAAAGCAAGTATTCCCTCATATTGTCGGAGACTCCAACGAACAATCGAACACACAACACATAGATCATCTAAAAGATAGTATAAAGAATTTAAAGATTGATTCAAAGGTGCACAAGTGTGAAAAATGCCATGAAGATATACGCATCGGTGATGTGATTGTAACCGCGGAGAAGGCTAACAATGCATCCTGGCATCCTGGTTGTTTCGTTTGCTCGGTGTGCAACGAATTGTTGGTAGATCTGGTGTACTTTTATTATAAAAATAAGTTATATTGTGGAAGAGATTTGGCTGCATTTTTGGGAATTGTTCGATGTTTCGCATGCGATGAGGTAAGTGTGTATGTCATGCATAATGTTCTTTATTAAATGCATATCTTCTTTGAATTACAAATTTTTTGGATAATATCGTGTCAACTGTCTCTTGGCAAAAATGTATCAAGGAAAATTATTTATAATAATTTCTTAATTTCCACATGTATTTTTATAATTAAAAGATTAAAATTCTAATTAAGATTCTATCACAAAGTCTGTTTGTGGATGAGAAATTAATTGAAGAATATGATTCATTTATTTGTTCTGAAGTTTGCTATTCGAAAAGCTCTTTACTTCTGATTGCTTATTAACTAACTCCGAAGTTACGAATATCTCCACATTCTTGTAACGTAAAATGAAAATTTAATTAACCTTTTTTGTCACTTCTATTTGTTGCAGTTAATTTTTGTACGAGAATATACAGTTGCAGAAGGGCACAATTATCATGTGAAACATTTCTGTTGTTGGGATTGCGATATGCCATTAGCTGGGCAACAATACATTACTGAAAACGATCGTCCATTATGTCTTCCTTGTTATCAAAAATCATATGCAAAGACATGTGCTGCCTGCAATATTGTGATTGCTGCTGATCAACAGGGTGTAGCGATAAAAAATTTGAACTTTCATGCAACTGAAGCCTGCTTTTGCTGCTATAGTTGTAAAAAGAACTTACTAAATGGTAGAATGGCGATAAAAGAAGATAAATTATTCTGCAGTAAAGATTGTATTGCAGAGTTTCTTAATCGATAAAATATATGTATATATAAATAAAAGTCTATTTACTATTTTTGATATGTTATTTTTTCATTGTAAGAACAAAATATATTCATATATAAAATTATTTTAAGAATTTAAGAAATATATAATGTTATAAACGTGAATTTTAATAGTTATTGCCTATATGTCAACCATAGAAAAAAGTTTGTTTAAGGTGGATATATTCTGCCTCAACTATGGGATTTCCACTCCATGTTATCCTTCTAAGGAAATATAGAATAAAATAAGCTTATCTAAGTTATTCCAACAGAATAGGCTTGTCACATGTGTGCCAGCCATATCAATAACATATTGATCATTTCTTATTTTCCACTTCTACATATCTCATTTTCATTTTATCGGTTTTATTATTATATATTTTTCTTTAATTATATACATAAAAATTTAAGTAGATGTTACATCAAAGACATTTTTACAAAAAAATAAAATGAAACAAGGACCAGATTGCATAATTATGGATCTACTCCTACAGTTGAACAGAAAAATATATTTCTTTCTGTCGATCCTCCTTCAATGCACGGCCACTTCATTATATAAGCTCTATGTAATTATTGGAATAGGAATTACGATTAATGAAAAAACTATATAAGAAGTAATTCAAATATATACATATTGTAATGTGTAAACATTTATGTTGTATGTACATATTAATAATTTATACTTCATATGATATATTCTGTACATATATACCTATATTATGTGGTACACAAAATGAAACAATAAATGCATTGATTTATCTACTACTAATTTTACAAGGGGCAAATCCGCTGCAAATTTGTTATAGTTCTTTATAAATTTGTTGTAATTTTGAAAATAAATAATATTTATACAACATTTTAACCTTTTTGCACCTTAAAAACTTGTAGTTATTTTCATCATATGTTAATTACATATGAAGAATCATTATTGCAGCTTGTCAAAATGGTTGCTACAAATAAACAGCCATTATAAAGGCTTGCCAAAGATTTTCTTACCTATATCTAAATATTACAATAATCTGTCAAGTTATAAAATAAATTTTAGTAAATCGTTATTTTAATTGGTAAGTAAAAAAATATGTTAATTTGTGCGATAAAGTGACACACTTCAACCCTATGAAAGAGATTACTACTCCATATAATAGAGTATCTTGAGTAAAATAGTGTGTTTTGCTGAACTATGCAATAGCAGAGTGTTTTTCATTAGGTTTATATATATAATTATATTTTTGAAGATAGAAAAATAGAGAAATAGATTTGCGATAAATATTTTGAATATTAATTCTCTAATATTAGAAACTTGGCTAATTATTTTTTTAATATTAGCTGAAGCTGTGTATATAAGCTTGATGAAAAAAAAATTATGTTACACATGTTAATTATTTATTCAATTATATATTCATTTATATATTCATATTCAATGCACTTATATATTATAGATTAATTCTTAGTATTTTAAAATATATCATTAATCATTCTTTCATTTAAGCAAAACACATCTATCTTACAATTTGACAATATTAAATTCTTTGTTTGTTTCATTTATAATCCTTTTTTTACATTTCTGCACACGAAATTTTTTTATTCTTTTCATACTAAATATATGTGTTGGAAGCTTATGTAAATTATATTTTTTGCATGTTTAATAATTTACTAGTAGAAGTAACGAGTCAATATAATAAAAATGAGTCCCTTCCCATATTTCCAATTAAAATATCATGTATAATTACATAATAATTCGAATAAAGCGATAACCTCAGGTTAGGTACACCTTGATTAACCAGATATGCTATGACTTTCGGTGACATTTACTCCTTGTGTCGACGCTGTTGGTGTCGGACTAAGACTAATATTAGGTTCTGACAAACTCGTGAACCCTCCACTGCCTTTATCGAGATTTTTTTTTTTTTTT